AAACAAACCATGGCATCTCTTATTTTTTTTGAAAAAAAAAAAATAAAAAATTGGGATCATGTTTTTGTTAGTATTAAAAAAAAAAAAAAAAAAAAAAAAGGGGGGGATTCAGTGTTTCTTCTTACCCGCATTTTTTATAAAAAGGTATATTCTGCAAGTTTGTAAATAGTAAATAAGTTAAAATTGATATCCTAGGAGAATGAAACGAATGAACTGAATTTTTTTTAACAGACATACCTCCTCGGAACAATCCAAAATAACTAGAAAATAAAATGTTACACGAGAAAACCAAATACAAAAAAGGCATATATTATAAACAAATGATACCTTTGTAGCAACCGGTTTTTGCACCGATGTGTTTAAGAGCTTGGATAATTCTAATGTAACATCAAATATTCTCATCTTGTTACATTAAGATATCAAACAAGTAGATAGTAGTTTATGAATAATGAATACCTGAGGCCAAGTTTCTTTCCTTGTTGATTTTTATCAACGGCAATGTCTTCTATGTGCCCAACCTAAATAAAGGATGGGTTGATCATTTAGAATTGATCAACTTAATCAATATCACGTTCAAGATTACAGACCAATCCGTTATTATGGATAAATTTGCGTTCGACAAATATTGTCCCAGCGCCTATAATTCGATCCTCAGGAGAAACTATCACAACAGTAAAATACTCATGGTTGTGAGCTTTAAGGTAATAAAATCGTTCTGTAAATGTAGAAAGATTTGTTAATTACTACAGTGAGCTATTGCATTAATATTAGTAGATTTACCGAGAAACTGCGCTTTAGAAATATCTCCAACGACCGTGAGCACATTCAGAACATTAAGGAAGCCTTTTTCATAGTCTTCACTGGATAAAGGTCTGATGGTGTGACCTTTAGGTAAAGCAGCCTGAACTTCAGATGAGATAAGATCGCTAGAGAAAAGAAGAGTATTGGAAGACATTTTAATTACAGTTTAATTAGTAAAATTTGAAACGTAAATAAATATCATGTGCAGGTGTAACGTACGATAATCATTTAGCATTAAATTGAGAACTGGAGTTTTTTTTTTCAATATAAATTCGTTCTCCGTTACAATATTATTACTTTAATATGGCAAAATATTATTCCATCGCATTATATTTGCAAGTAATTTCGTTTCTTATAGTAACATTTGGAATAATTAAAGTTACAACAGAATCACGTAAAGAATTTAATATTACACAACTGCTCGAAATAGTGCAAACAGAATTTGACATTAATATCGTAAACGAAGGTGTAAGGAGCTATTTCACAGGAAACAAAGATTTACATGAATTACATGATTGGTCTTCTAGTATTGCTAAAAATTGTATAGGTGGAAATGCATCTGAAGTGTACAAAAATTTGACGACGCCGGATAGCGTCATAAAATTAGCAAGTCACATCAAAATACCTGATGGACAAGAGGATATATCAGGACAATACGTTTATACCGTTTCAGAGAAACAAATGGATATACGAAGTGCTAATAGTATTCTTGACTCAATTTATGAGTCAGTTGATAAAGAAGTGGCATATTTTCACACAGAAGAAGAATTTTCACCTCATGCACCGCGAAGTACATCCTTGCAATACGCACCCTTGCAAATAATACTTAATTCGGTAGCAATCCGCTCAACACAAGTAGCAGACATGTACTTGTCATCAACTGCATGTACTACAAATAATGAAAGTTTTCATAAATTTGCAGATAGATCAATATTCTATAATTCTTTATCAGCCGGGTTATCCTCAGCAGTTTTAAATCGCGTTTCAAAAGATTATGGAACAGACATGAAATTTAACATGTTAATTAACATTATGAGCACAGTATCGATTCAAATTCATATGGTGAAATCAATAGCATCTTTAGCAAACTTGGACACAAATGATGATGCAGTAAGAACGTTAATATATTTATGTATTGCATCTGATGGAGTAAAAAGTTCAATGACTGAAACGACGAAAGAATTTACCAAAGCTATAATGCTAAAATGGATTTCGAATATTAATGAATCAACTTTAGCGGCTATTAATAAGCATGTAGCTATGAAATTATTTACAAAGGTGGCAGAAAATAAAGGAATTGTTAATCTTGCATCCGTAATCCCTTTTGTTGGAGAATTAGTAACACTTGTTAGTGATTCAATGACAACTTATTCAATTGGTAAAATTGCAAAGTACGTTTTTTGTCCATTTGAAGATGATAATCAGGATACGACAAAATTTTCATCACCACCTTCATACCCCGGCAACGTTGAACTTTAAATTCTTTACCACCTTATCAAGGAGATGAAATTTTATTATTTGTAAATAAATCAAAAAAAAAAAAATCATTATTTATTTTTTATTTGTTTGCTATCTGATCGGCATTGGGATATGTGACCTATAATATAAATTATACAGTTAACCCTCCATAAGTGGACCATCCTAGAGTTACCAAAAATTTCGTTACCAGCATTAGTGTTAAGGTTTGAGTATATATTTGTTTTGATTTTAGGTTACATCCGTCTTGAATTTTTTAGGTTGGTAACGCAGTCCACTTGATAAATCCAATAAAGTTTCGTGTAACATAAGTCTTGTCATTACAAGATGCTGTGAACAGAGTTGGCACACATTTATCCATTGGAGTGAACTCCATTGACATTGCTCCATTGAGGATAACCTCTGAATGGAACTAATGGAACCAATGGAATTCAATGATATTGCTCCATTGCTCCATTAAAAATAGTTTTTGAATAGAGCCAATGCGTTCCAATAACTTTATTAACATCATATGTCGACTAGATTTAGAAACGGATTAAAATGCAACCAAACTCATACAGCGAGGTCGTATGTGCCGGAGCTGATTAAATTTTTCCCAAGATCACTCATTAACGTTAAGTAAAAATGTCCAGCTGATAATTTTGCTATGGCTAATATTGCTTAGTTCCGATGCATTTCGACTCGGAATTTTGATCCCCTGTAAAAAATAGTTGCGACCAGAGCATTTCTATTTAAGATTAAATAAGGCATGCTTTGATGCATATATACATAGTTTTTTGGCATGTTCTTTTTGTCGTGATAAATAACCAAGTTTCTCATCGAAAAAGGAGTGATGACAGTTCAAAATATGAGTGCTCGAGGGTAAAAATTTATCCCTGAAGCATGATCGTGTTGCAATATTTCCTTTCATGCGAAATGTGGTTCGTATTGCCTACACGGGGAATTAATGGATGAGCAGGATATATGCTAACTAATGAGCACATCACCGTAGACTATTCCGGCAATGCAATATTTAGTAGTTAATAACGATGATACATGTATTTACATATTATCATTTATAGACGAAGAGGTGACGGTTAGCTACGTAAATCTTTTTTACATTATTTTTATCATAAAATAAAATATTAATTAATTAATTACAGGACAAAAAACAAATCAGATCTTTAAGAGGAGTGGTGTGTTTAGAAAAAAAGAGCAGTGCAGTTGGTATCGTAGTTGAAAACAAAAAGAAGAGTCGAACGATTACCCTATTATCCTAACAATTAAAGACCGTATCCCTATAATAATCCTTAATCTTACCCTTGATATCATTAACAAAAACCCTATCAAATTCCCATGTATAACGACTTTATACTTAACTATCAATTTCGCTTTTAACTACTGTCATTCCGGAATGTAGAAGTTTCAGGAGTTTCGCAGATCAGTATGGTACGTTAAACTTTTTTAATATCTTGTCGAAAGCAATTTTAAAAATTATATGAGTGCCGCCAAGGGAGAACGGGGTTTCAAGTTTATTGTTTTCCGGATTTAATCTAATTTGTCAGGAATTGTGACCGGTAAATTATAAATTTAAAATCTTGATGATAGGTTTTCTTTAGTGGCACTCATATATATTTATATATAGTTTATTTAAGCATGCCTTATGTTTGTATTTGCAATGTTAATTAAAAATAATGAAACCTGCACTGTGAATTAGTAAAATCTACGTAGATCATATGAGGGTAAAATTCGC